ATTCATTTTTGGTTGCGCAACTTCGGGCTATGCAGGCTTCAATTGCAATACAGGTGGCGGTTAAAAATAATTTCAAAACTTCATATCCAAATAATGCACGCGCCTCGTTTAAGAAACCACAATTAACGCCTGGTCTTTTCGTAGCCGGTGGATTTGTTTGTTCGTTATGTAGGGCGGAACATTCTTTAGCGTCTTGCAGTAAATTTTTGGTGAAAACTCCTTATGCCAGATTTAATTTTATAAAAGGCAAACATTTATGTCTGATTTGTCTTGGAGGACATGTTGTTAAAGATTGTACTGTGTCACAGATTTGTTGTGTGGCTGTCGCCACAGTGCTTTGCTACACTTTTCAAAAGGTAATAGTAGTACCAGTACTTCGGGTACACAACTTGCATCGCCGACGGGCAGACAAAACGAAGATCAAGATACGTTGAATAATTGTGATAGTATTATTCCTGTCGCAGCATCGTTAGTTTCCTCTTCCGATGCAGTGTCAATTTTTCCTACGGCTGTTGTTCACATTAAGAATTTTAGAGGGGAATTTGTGTCAATTCGTGTTTTGCTTGACTCCGCTTCAGCGGCCAATTTTATTTCGGAAGATTGTCTGATGCGTCTTGGGCTGCCTCGGGAACAGTGTAAAACTCAAATAGCGGGCATTGGCAACCAAGAATTCGTAACGAAGGGGGTTGTTAATTGTATTGTCAGACCTCACTTCTCACCAGAACCACAGTTGCCTTTAAGGGCTTTGGTCCTTCCAACAATTTGTTGTAAATTGCCAAGTCTTTCAGCGAATATTCCGCATATGCCATACTTTGATACTTTTGAACTGGCCGATAGGAAATTTTGGAAACGTGGCGACATCGATTTGCTGATTGGTGTAGCGGAGTTTACATCTATTATAAAAAATAATAGGATTAATTTCCCGGACGCGGAGGGGCCCACGTTTATTGAAACAATTTTTGGTTAGGTTGCTCTAGGAAAATCTAAGATCTCGAACACTCGAACTAATGTCACTTCTTTACCGACGTATTGTACAAAAATTTCGGAGTCGCTAAATAATAATATTAAGCGGCTATGGGAGGTCGAAAGCGTACCTAATATCAAAACGGCATCGCCAGAAACTGAATTTTGTGAAAACCTATACAAGAAAACCCATTTTAAAGATTCTTCTAGTCGATACGTTGTCGCTTTGCCTTTTCGATTAAAGAACCCAATTTTTGGTGAATCGAAAAATTTAGCTCTACGCAGACTTTATTCTTTGGAAAATAGATTATATCATAACCCAGCTTTGCTCGACTTGTATAGAAATTTTATGAGGGAATATCTCGAGGCGGGTTATATGTCGATCGGTAGTCGGACCGATGAGCCTGGTCGGTACTACATTCCTCATCATTGTGTCATACGGGAAGAATCCGCCAACCAAGCTCCGCGTGGTATTCGATTCGTCAATGAAATCCTCCAATGGGGTCTCATTGAACTCTACACTTTATGCTGGTCCAAAACTTCATTCCGATATTTCTAACGTTTTGCTTAAATTTCGTTTGCATAAATTCGTTTTGATAGCAGATATTAAGAAGATGTTTTTGCAAATACGGGTTCGCGATGAGGATAAAAGGTTTCAACATATTTTGTGGAGATTTAACCGTGAAAAGCCGGTACAAGAGTGATTGGATACTTTGGTTTTGGGAGTTAGTAGTTCACCCTATTTGGCCAATAGGACCATTAAGCAATTAGCTATAGATGAACGGCAATCGTTTCCACTTGCGTCGGATATCCTGTTGTCTGATATTTACGTTGACGATATTCTGACAGGTTTTCACGATCTGGAAGTTGGTAAACGTATAAAATTTGAGCTCTCAGAACTTCTAAAGAGAGGTGGTTTTGAGTTACGAAAGTGGGCTACTAATTGTGCGGAAGTTTTATCGGACACCCCTATTGAACATCAGCAACCCATTAACTTTGATACAGTCGAACCGCTATGCCTCAAACTTCTTGGGTTGCAGTGGCAACCAGCTTTTGATAGTTTTACTTTTAAAATTGGTAATATTTCGAGTACCGAGTGTACCAAAAGAGGGATTTTGTCAAATTTGGCTAGAATTTTTGATCCTTTGGGCATGATTGCCCCCCTAACGTTGTACGCTAATTGTTTAATTCAACAGCTATGGAGCTTGGGCTTTGACTGGAACCAGGAACCTCCAGCCGAAATTACCGCGAAATGGAGAAAATTTCAGTGTGAGTTGGATCTGTTATCCTCTCTAAAAATTCCTAGGCACACGCATGTGTTTCAAGCTGAATGTGAAATGCATGGATTTTGCGATGCTAGCCAAAGCGGATATGGGTGTGTGGTCTTCCTTCGGGTTTTTGTAAATGGCGAGCATAAAATTTATTTCGTTGCTGGAAAATCGAAAGTCGCACCTCTGAAGAGAATAACCTTGCCCCGTTTGGAACTATGTGCTGCTGTTTTGTTGTCAAATTTAGTAGAGTTTTTTCGTGATGCTCTGAATAAAATTATAATTAAAAAAAATTTCGCGTGGTCAGATTCAAAAGTAACTCTGGCGTGGATTAAATCCTCTGCTCATAGATGGCAAATATTCATTAGTAATCGAATAAGTCATATCCAAGATAAGATTTCTCCTGATAGTTGGCGTTATATTCCTACTAACGATAATCCCGCAGATTGTGCCAGTAGAGGACTTCCTTCACAATTCTTAGAACACCCAACTTGGTTTCATGGGCCTCGGTTTCTTCATTACGCTTCTGATCATTGGCCTCGCGATTTATCGGCCGAAATTCCCTCTGAATGCTTAGAAGAGGAGAGCAAATCTATGACGATGTTAATTTCCATATCGGACCCGTACGGTGTGTCTAATAGATATTCTTCATTGGAAAAAATTTTAAGGATCATTGCATATTGTGTAAAATTTTGTAATAATATTCGTACAAAACGTCAAAATCCGGTTGCCGCTTGTTCAGCGGCTCTTTGCGAAGAAGATATAAACAATGCACTTTTGTGTCTTGTTTGGCAAGTACAACGTGAGGTTTTCTCTGATGCTATATATAAGTTAGAAAAAAACAAAAGCGTAGATAAGGTTTTAAGAAAATTGAATCCATTTATGGATAATCAAGGTTTCTTGATAAATTCTAAATCTTTGCCACACGACAACAAATTTCCATTGTTACTCCCTCAAAAACATCGTCTTACTGAACTGATAATATTTAATTTACATAAGAAATATTTGCATCCGGGTTTGCAAACATTGCATTTTTTGATTCTACAACAGTTCTGGATATTGTCAGCGAAAAATGCTATTCGTAGGTGTTTGTCTCGTTGTTTAAGATGCTTTCGAGTGGATCAAAAGCCTGTTGTACCATTCACGAGCGATTTACCGGCAGGACGTGTATCACAGGCCAAGCCATTTCAGGAAGTAGGGGTGGACTTTGCAGGTCCCTTTTCTGTAACGCCTTTAAAGGGCAGAGGGATAAAGGCCCAGAAGGCATATGTTTGTATTTTTTTTTGTTTTGCTGTTAAGGCCATACATTTAGAACTGGTTTCCAGTTTGTGTACTGACGCTTTCGTTGATGCTTTAAAGCGCTTTATCACACGTAGAGGACGTTGTAATATTATCCGCTCCGATTGTGGTACCAATTTTATTGGTGCCAATAGACAACTGGTGGAAATCATGAAAAACGCCGTTGAGACGGAAAAAATCAAATGGTACTTTAATCCACCATCAGCACCTAATTTCGGAGGGTTATGGGAAGCTGGTGTGCGTAGCATGAAGTATCACCTGGTTCGGTCAATAGGGCTAAACAAAATAACTTTCGAGGAAATGTATACAACGCTATGTTGCATCGAATCTGTTTTAAACTCAAGACCTTTACACCCTTTGAGTAGTGACCCTAATGACATAAGCGCTTTGACTCCAGGGCATTTTTTAACTCTGGAGCCTCTTACTTCTTTACCTTCTAAGGATTATACGAACGCTAATATTAATACTTTACAACGTTGGGAATTGGTGCAACGATTGCATAGCGAATTCTGGAAGGGGTGGCATCACGATTATTTGAACACGCTTCAGCAGCGTTCGAAATGGACAAAAAAACACCCCTTATTAAACATAGGAGATATGGTAGTCATTAAAGACGAATTAAATACGCCCCTTCGATGGTTACTTGCCCGAGTAACACAGGTTCATTCTGGAACTGACGGTATTTGCCGAATAGCGACAGTTATAACTAGAAATGGTTTTTTGCAAAGGCCCCAAACTATGTCGTTTACCTTATTTAGAATAAATTTAGAAGAAAATGTTTTTTTTTTTCTCATTTTCGTTTTGTTTTCTTTTCTTTCATTAATTACACTAGAATGTTATTTTGTTAAAATACACTTGGTGATTTTAAGGTCGGCGGTATGTTCGATCTTATTTTGGTAGAGGAATATTTTTCGGGTAAATTGTGAGTATCAATTAGTTTTTTTTTATTATTATAAATTTGCCTAACCTCTAGCCTGGTTCAGCCAGGCTATTTTTTTGCGACGCTGTGCGCGTTTCTTTTTTTGAAGAAGCAATCGACAAAAAGGAACGAGAACGGCACTGCGATTAAACAAGCAAGGTAGGATTTACTTCCCGCGTCGATACATATGTTAATATGAAGTTTTCTTCACATTGGATAAAGACAAATTTCGTGAAAATCTGAACTTTTATTTTGAAGTTTTTTTTTTAAATGGACCCAAAAATCGCCCCGTAAATATTACCATTCAATTAGAAAACACCCTGTATATTAAAGCGGTAGAAAACTAATTTACTGTGTGAAACGTCTTAGAGAATTTCCTATTTCAACTATAGTACTAAGTAAGGAACGTCGAAGTTCGCTATATGAGAGCTATCGTTACGTCTGATAACCTTACTGTTCGATCCCTTAACACAGCATTAAAAAGTTAAAAGAAAAAATAAAACATTGAGGGCGGATAGTGGCCGACGCGGACGGTCAAACGTCAAACTTACCTACTAGGGGCTGGTGCGTTTTGTGTAACCGCAGGTCCGGGATGCTTCTTTTCAAGTGCGATAGCATGCCTAAACACACATATAGAAATGCAGAAAATTTTTGCCGGGACGATTATTTCAAAGACTCGATCGTTTTTATTTGTTTTTATTTTTAAATGTCGGTATCGGGTAAAAATTGACAGCCCAAACACGCGCATGCAATAGGCTATATGAGAAATCAGCGCTCGTATTCTAAGGAATCGGCTAGGGAAAAAGCTGCGCACTGCTCAACGCGTTTTTCAACAAGATGTTCGTCAAAAATTAAACCCAAACCCATGAACCGAGAGGTGGTCGCGGGTTACCTGTTATCGAATTCAACGTCGACGATCTTCGTTTCTCTTCGCCGAAATCGAGATTAAGCGGAGTCACGTCTTGGCCGGCTTTGTCTGTTGAAAACTCGAGGATACCGTGACCTGAGGACAAAAGGTCAATTTACGGTACCGTACCAAATTATTACGTGATGCGATTTCTTTTGAAATCAACATCAAACTATATGGATGATGGACAGCTGTCGACCAATAGGATCTTGCCGCGTTGGGAATAATAATTATTTCGCAAAAAACAATACAGAAACTCTCATAAGATTGCAAAAAAGACACTGAAAGTAATATTCAAATAGATACTTACATGGGATTCTGTGGTGGAGCATTGCACGCGGCGGTTTAACCTTCGTTCGCTCCCGACAGAATCCCTTCTATTCGTCTCCAAAAGTGTGATATCGGTTTCCACTGTGTGGATTTAGTGTTTTGAGTATTCAGTGTATGTTTTAAAGTGATAATCGTCGTCGGTTCCGTCGTTTTTCCCTATTCACGCCGGTGTGGAGGCCGGATGGGCCCCGATGGTCCGTGGTGGAAGCGGGGAGAAGCCGATTTTTGTTGGTATCGGTCAAAATTGTTTTTTGCTAGCCGAGCAAATCTTTTTTTATATTTTTTCTTCGTACGTGTTGGTCATTGACCAAAAGCGAAAATCCTCGACGGAAGTCGGTAATGGGCGAATGGCCATAGTAGTCTTGCCCAGATGGTTGTAAAGAGCAAAGGAGAGAGAGAGAGAGAGAGAGATACTTACATATTGCGTACATTATGATCATTGTCAGTTCCCAATATATTCAGGGCGAAAAATAAGTTAGGGGCAGTAATGGAACTACCCGAAATATGGTGCAAAACATGATGAGTTTGCTGAACTATATTTATATATATCTATCGGTTTTTAAAACGTCCTCCGACGTCGTCCGATTCCCAATCTCCATCGATTTCTGTCCTTTCATAGGTCCTCGTCCAGTCGTCTCCATTGTATTTCATTATCGATGCCCTCTCTCCAGCTCTTTCTCGGTCTTCCCCTCTTCCTTCTTCCTGTAGGTGTCCAGGTGAGTATTTGTTTAGGCAGTCGCTGTTCTTCCATTCTTTGGACGTGACCGTACCACTCTAACTGTTTTGTTCTTATTTCGTCTGAAATCGTGTGGCCCACCTTCATGGTTGTGCGAATTGCTTCGTTTGGGACTCTTTCAGTTCTTGACCTTCCTGCCGCTCATCTCCAAAAGTCTCCAGCGTTCTCATGGTTCTTTCTTTTAGTGGCCAGATTTCACTGCTGTATGTGACTATGCTTTTAATGACCATATTGTATATTAGGTGTTTGTTTCGTCTGGTGATTTTTTGGTCCCACAAGAAGGTGAGTATTTCGTTCTTTGATGGCGTAGTCTAACGTCCCACTGCTGGATATGTACATTCCCAGGTATTTGTAGGTTTCGCAGCTTTTGTTAGCCTGACCATCCTCTAAGAGGAGGTCGCGTTGTGCTCCACCGATACACATATACATTGTCTTTGGTAAGTTTACTTCCAACCTCCATTTCTTGTATTCTTCGATCAGTTTTCGCATCATGTATTCTACATCATCGTAGTCTTGCGCCATTATGAGTTGGTCATCTGCGAAGCTTAGGGTGTATATGTTTGTATTGTTAAGGGGAATGCCCATACTTCTGCATTTTTGCTTCCATATCCTTAACGCTTGTTCAAGATATATCTTGAACAGGATGGGGGATACAGAACACCCTTGTTTGAGTCCCTTGTTGGGTGTAAATCCATTGGACATTTTTTGGCAGACGTTGACTTTAATGTGGTAGTTTCTATATAGCTGAACTATATTTGCCGGAATATTATATTTCTTCATCGTACGTGTTGGTCATTGACCAAAAACGAAAATCCTCGACGGAAGTCGGTAATGGGCGAATAACCATAGAAGTCTTGCCCAACTGTTTGTAAAGAGCAAAGGAGAGAGAGAGATATACTTACATATTGCGTATATTATGACCCGAAATATGGTGCAAGTGAACAAAGGAAATAAAAACATGCTGAGTTTGCTGAACTATATTTGCCGGAATATTAGGTTCGATATATTCATACATTGATTAATGTGTGGCATATATTAACAAAGATTGTGCAAATGTTAAGATGTTCACAGTTATTTATATTGTATTCCGACGTCTATCTTGTATATCGTATATATATATAAAATGTATAAATATACCAATTAGGTCTGTGGTATCTTTTGTAACAACTAAACTTTCAACAAGATAAAACTAGATAAGTTATTAAAAATTTATTAGTCTAGGTTAAAATTCCTCCTAATGCAATTCTAGTTTCTTTGAACATCCAAAATATATTTCCTAGCATTCCACAGATCGACAAAATAATTATAATAGAAAATATTTTTACTCAGAGACAAGTTAACCCTATCATGAAACAAAATTTATCTAATAGTTTGTTTAGACCAAAATTATTTTCAAGTTAATAGTCAATTTTGTATTGCAAACGGATTAATTATAGGAAAACTACTTGCAGAAATTTTCATGAACAATTTATTAATAATAATAATAATAATAATAATATTAATAATTAATGCTGTGTGGGGTTGGCATATACAAGCATAATCCCACAGTATCCAACTGCTTGTCGCAAAAGGCGACCAAATGATTCAGCTGTCCGCTGACCCACACATGAAGCTATCCTTTCAATCCATAAGAAATCCCCTATACTGCCTATAAAACCTTAATCCTTCCTTTCAAGTTTACCCATTAATATGGAGATAAATATAAATTGCCTTGGAAAAATGCCGCTGCCTGGGGAGCGCCAGGGCACGTTCAGAGCTGGTGCTTGGCGCGACAGCAGACGAGCCACCAGTGGTAGAGGACTGAACAGGCCGGTCCCTGCCGGGCCACCCGAACAGAATACAGCCGACCATTCTTCAGTACTAGTCGCACAACAACAGGATCCTCATGCTGAAAGTGTTTTGGAGGATGAAGCTTCACCAACCACCAAAGCAGGGTTACGTGGACAGAGAATCAAATGGACTACCCAAATGAATAAAGATGTGATTCGCTGCTACATGGAAAGTATTGAAGCTGAGACCAGCCTGACCATGTACAACGCAGAATTCTACCGACTGTTCATCGATATGTATCCTGAACTAGCGGCTAGGGTTAATGACTAAAATCTTTGTGATCGCAAAAGAGCTATCATCTCGGAGAAGCTACTCTCTCCTGTTGAAATAAGTCATGACTGGCCTAGTTATTGTCCCCCATAATGAGCATCCTCCTACAGTCGAGATATAGAACATCGAGTTGACACCCGCACCTGACAGGGTGCTGGCCTGATATCCCTAAACTAAAATCAACATGTGCTCTCCAGTGAATTACCCAACTGGCGAATAGGACAATTGTAAAACAAAGCTTAGGAGACGACAATGATCTTGCACAAATACGATTTGTGATCTACTGCGCCGCATCAAGTGTTGTAAGATTTATGGGAATCAAAATTCCAACAAGAACGAAGAAACAAAAGGCACAAGAGACCTGGACGCCGAGATGGAAGATCCGCGTGGAGCGGAGAATCAAAAACTTAAGGGAGAAACTAGGACAGCTATTTGCTTATATATCAACCCCATCGCATAAACTGACAAGGCTGATATTATTAAGCCCATTAGTATCGAACAACTTAATCCGGACAACCACACACCCAACAACTGAAAGTATACGCCAAAAGGCTACGGAGATCCAACGAGTGTACTCTGCGCAAATCCCAAAATAAACAGTTTAGCTAGCATAGACAAGAGAAAATTCTATAGATTTCTGGTCGGAGATATGGGAAGAACCTGTCAAATATGACACAAATGCAACATGGCTCCGACTCGAGGAAGAGAGGTCAAGGCCTATTCCTGTGATTATTGGAAAAACAAGCTATATAAGCATCTGCAAACCAACATAAGGTCTATGCAAACATCATAAATCTCTAAAGATGTCTCATGAAGCAATGGCCAACAACTCTATTTATCTCTTATGGCTCGGAAATGCTTACTTCCAGAAAATTAAAAATATCAAGGGGTGTTTTCCCGGGTAAAATGCTGAACGAGACAGGATAAGCTCCTGGCATCAAAATTTTGCCATTGACGGATCGTAGGTTTCGGAGAAGTGGTAAATCTGGTTTTAAAATTATATATCTTAAAAAACTTTTGATATGTGTAATTTACAAACAGACAAAATGAGTTGATAACCTATGATTTTTGAACCGGATCATCGTATGACAATGCATTAGGTATCGGTGGTATCAATAGTAAAACGTATGTTGAGCTGTATGGAGTTTAAATGGCTAAGAAAACCTTAGAAGGATTTATCATCAACATTGACATAATTTCGGTTTTAGATGGAAGGGCAAGGGCATTCTTTTTCAAAGCTTCCATAAAAATATTTGCCATGGCTGGTGATAATGAAGATCATCTAGCTGTTCCTGACACTTGTTCATAAATTAAACCGTTAGGAGAAAAATATGTTCCAGATAAGCATTGTTGAATTTAGATGAGAAAGTTTGATTTCAGATTTCGGAATATCAGCAGGTACAGGGTGGAATATCAACGAGTCTTACTGGAGCCCCGAAGAAGCTGATTGGCGGAATGTCAACAACTTCGATTTGTAAATAGTATTATAGTAGCCTGTGGAAGTTCTTTGAAAAATAAACGGCTACAAATATAACTACACTACCATTCACTTTATAAACACTTCTTATCCGATCTAATCAAAATGGTTTTAACTAAGTTATAACATTACCAATAACTTTGTTCTATGGTCTGTTATACTGGCAATACGCATGAAATAGCATCATCAGAGTTAGGCAACTGCTAGCAAAAGCGGGAAAAAATCATTAAAAAATTCAACACACAAAACGGGACAGGCTCCCTCGAGGAACCGCTATGAGAGGTAACTAAGAGTTCTATTATTTAAAAAAGATTCCAACCATTAAGTATTTGTAGTATCGAGAATAAACTCACCCGACTCCGACTCGTCGCTATACTGTGACTCTTGTCTGCCGTTCACCGAATTGCCCCTGCTGGACAATCCGTTCGACCTCGACGGTACCCCCCTGAAGTATCTGCTTTCTTTGTCCCGCGGGTACATAGGCCTGCGCGGTATAACCCCGGCCTGTTCTTCCTAAAACGGAAAGCCAGAGATGTTCACCGAGACGAGGACGCGTAAACATTAACTCCTCAAACAACTCACGTCGCGCAGGTTAAACGTGATTTCCAAATTGTTGAGGAAATGGTTGTAGAACTCCGGATAGAGCTCGAGAACGTCCAACAGGTCGTCCCGATGGATCTTGTGGAGATCGCAATAGGTCAGCGCCCGGACGTTGCAAGCGCTCTTGCCTATCGTCGGGTGCATGCAAGGGTTCTCGCCAAATATGTCGTACTTGCCCAGGATGGCCATGACGATATCCTCGCGGAGGATCTCTATCGAGCCTCGGGATATGAAATAGAGAGATGTGAGGACGTCGCCTCTGTGAACCAACGTGTCTCCCGGCGGAGCGTGTGTCGTTTTAAACTTCAACGTTAGGGCCCTGCAAGTGAAAAAGACCTGACGTCGACGCGTATCGGATTTCCGTCCGATTTGACACGCCACGTGGCAACACGCTTCCTTCCTGAACATACAACGTCAGGCTGATTGATACGCATACGCTTTTCGCTTAATTAGTTTTTACCGATACGTCGCTTTACGTGAAACTGATGTATTTTTACCGTCCGCTTGGAGAGCGTCGCTGTTCTCGAAAACAGAAATGAGATGCGTGAAAAACAAACCCAATGAAACTACGATGTGAATCGATTATATTTGAATACGTTTAATGTTTTGAGAATTTCATATACAAGGTGTTCTTGAAATGAAGTTTCATAATTTAATGATAATAATAATAATAATAATAATATTAATAATAATCATAATAATAATAACAAATAGCGTTTATTAAAATACAACAATATATGACAATAGAGTTCAACAGGTGGCGAGGTCTAGCAGCGCTATTCCACCTAACCACCGATACAATGTATTATAATATTCAGAATTTAACAAGATTGCTTTCGAAAAATCGTCGCTGGGCGAGGCAAGTTCGTCGCGCCTAGCGCCAAGCAGCTTTTTATATTAAAAAGCGTTAAATGAGCTTCGCTGTTTCTTGTGCTACAGCGACGCATTGTTTTTCTATCGTGCTCCTGCGGACCACTATGGAACTTTCGCAAAATCGACGTAATTATATTGTATGTGCATCCTGTATAAAGCGTTTTTTACTTATCGACGAAATTCAAAGTCACAAAAAACTTTGAAAAATATGAAAAATTGTACAAGTAATAACGATTTCCAATGATATTATTCCAAGTATCTCATGCACCCTGTAGGATACATGAAACCTGAAACTTTCTCTCTTCACAATTTACGATACTGTTTGGACCAAATGTTTACAAGTTTTACAAGAACGGCATTTTTGAGGGTTTTTTAGATATTTTTACAAACAATCGACACACTGTACATAATTCAAAAATTTCCGGAAATGGAGGTTAATCCTGGATCTCCCATGTTTCCTGGTCATGGAATTTTTCCAAAATAGTAAGTAAGTGGTAAATCGCTTCAAGATCGTCATTTATGCCATTGAAAGACAAAGATACATCTTTGACCGAGAATGATAAGTATATTTGCATTTCATCAGCATATAAATAGGTTGTGGAGGTCAAGTGCATATCCCAGTAATATGTATTTAGGTGCCGAGATTGCCGACCGTGGTCAGGATATTGTTGGCTTGTTGGCACTTATGAAAAGTATGAGGGTGTGATTCGTAATCATAGTTTTCACTACAGTTTAGACTTCAACTCCATGAACGTTTCACTTACTGATGTGTTTGACAGTATTATGAACTTACAGAGTGGATTTTTGCATGGGCCGGACGGGAGCCCATCGTTCTTGATTAAGAATTGCGTGTGAACTTTGAGTAGGCAACCACAGCATATATTTAATCTGTCCTTGTCTTCAGGTGTTTTTCTTAACTTTTGGAAGGTCAGCTATTTGGTACAGATTCACAAGAGCGATGTCACTAATTATAGAGGCGTCCGCAGATAAGTTATTTTGATAATATTGTTAGTGTAGTTTCGGAATTGTAGTGTATTTGCGGATGTTTTGAAGACATTCAGGAGGGTTGGATAGTGCGAGGATGCTCTGCTGCTTCAGAGAGACTTCGACAGTGTTTGCATGTGGTCGAAGATTAATAGTTTTGCGTTCAATGTAAAAAAATGCTGTAGTATTAGCTAGCTTTAGTCGTTCGTTGAGTATGGTTTACAACCGATATAGCATTGATAGAGTCGAGATCGAGGCCGTCACTAGCATGAAAGTCTTGGGTGTTTTCTGGGATTCTAGACTAAGATTTGTTGCACATTTTTCGGAAGTGGTAAACAGGTCTATGCGAGTCCTTGGATTTGTTGTACGCAATAGTGGGCAACTTACTCCACAATGCTTTAGACTCCTCTTTATCTCTTTGGTTCACCCTAGACTGGAGTATGTACCTGTGGTCTGGCCTTCATATTATGCCTGCCATATAGATACCATCGAAGCCGTTCAGATAGTATTTTTAAGATATTTGGCTTCAAACGCACATATCAATATGGGGATCAGATCAAGTACAGTATTATAACTAAGGCCTTTAATATTGGTATTCTTCAATCCAGAAGATTCGAGACTGATTTATTTTTTCCTCTATAAGATTTTAAATGACTGGTATCATTTTCCAGCTCTTACATAGCATACAATTAAACGCATATTACAGAAACTATCATAAGCCAATGTTCCGCATACTTAGCCATTGCGTAATTTCTGGACTTTATTCACCCCCTACTAGAATGCTGAAAGAGTGTAACTGTCAAAAGCTTGATCCTTTTGTCGGCAGCCTCCGTTCATTTCGTTCTGATGTGTTCCGTTTGAGTGCTTACAGATAATTCTATTTATTGTCATTGTTATATTTTGTTCTTGTTTGATTCTAGCTGTTATACTGCTGTATTTCTTTCCTTTTAATAAATGCAAAAGGTTTGAAAATTCGTTTCACCCTAAATAAATAATATCACTCTAATTCTGTGCTGCATTTGTGTCGATATATTCTTCACACTTATTATATCGCTGTAGTGACTTTTAAGCTTAATTCAAGAATAGCAAATACATGTAGCGAGTTAGAATTTTTGACATCTTAATATCTACAGTAATGGTGAAGTGAACTAAAGCAACTACTCATCGCCTGGTACAATTTGTAGCTGAACTAAATAATCTAAATTAATTTATTATTATATTATATTATTCTCAACTAGCTGACCAGAGCCATCTACACTCTGTACACGTAAAACTTGTATACCATAAAAGTTCCTTTAAAAACTAAAAACGTTTCGTCTTTAAAATTTATATTGTAATTTCTCCAACTACTTTCAAACCAATTAGCGTAGTCGAATCTTAATTATTTTGCTTTGGTTAATTTAGGCAGTCATTTATGGGAGATCTCAGCTGAAAAACCGCCAACAAAATTCTGTACAGATAAAATCGAACCCGTTTCAAAAACCCGTCCAATATATGGACCGCGATATCTGGTTTCTTATGCTTATGTAAACATAACGGCGAAATAATATTATAATAACATATAAACAATATTGCAATCAAACTTCAAATCTCAGAAGAAGCAAGAAAGTAGACCATATAAAAAATATGTAATTATTATTTATTATTAATGATGTTTTTAGCCGCTTAATCACAAAAGGGACAATTGCTCTTTATTCGTACCTCAAACATCCGGGACTAGCGCCTTCGAACACTCCGCAGTTCTGGAGGAGGTTCCGGTTCAGGTGTAGGCAAATGTCCGCCTGAAGACATTCGGGGAACCCCTTGAGCACCGAGTTCATGTCGATGCCGTTGGTGTAGGTCCACGCGTGCTGGAAGTACTCCTCCAGACGCTGGCGTAGCGGATTGGGTATTTGGTGGAAGCGGATGAACTCGCGCACGCGCAGCATTTGTGTGTGGTAGCGGGCCGTGCCCGAGTATAACCGTTGAATTATGGCCGAAACGTTGCCGAATATGCTGGCGTACATCAAAGCTGCAAATCAAACAGGAAAGTAACGGTAAGTTCATGGTAGTGTCGTGCGTGATCTTTGGTCCATTATTAAAAATTGTGATCCGATTGCTATTGCTAATAATTAAGTTATTAACTGAGAGTAAGATGGATATTTTTGTACTTTCAGAATTGCAAATATGAACTGGTATATATGACACAGAAATCGGTGCCTCTGGGGATCTATCCCAGTATATTCCAGTATATGGGCTATTGATGTGTGCTGCCGAGAACCTCAACAGAGGGTACTCGGACATTTATATTTGCAACGACAGTCAACCAGTAAGAATGCACCTTCATATCATGGGGGTAGGTGACCACAGCACATGCAGATTGTGTTTAGAAGAGAGGAAAACTCCAATTCATCGTCTACTAGGGTGCAGCCAACTAAGAGTACCAGGAGCTCAATTCATTTATTGAGCTTCAGAAACAATCCAAACTCCCTACGAAGAGGTACTTCCTCGGGAGTACTAGGGCATAATGGATTGAAAGGTCTTAACATATTCTCGCAGAAATGGGAAATCGCAAAATTATCTACTGAGAAGCTCGAACTAAGAGTGAGAACTTTTTCATGGCTTCCGCACTTACTAAAGAGTAGTGATTATGAAAATATGGGGATAAGACAGCTTTTCGTAATTGAGACCAATGTAAATGGCTATACTGTAATACAACTACAAAGCTCTTGACGTCAGGCAATACCAATACCTACTAATATCAATATTGAAGCAAACTGGCATTGATGAGACACATATTACGCAGCCTACAAGATGGAGGGCAAAAGAGGCCCCAGCAGAAAATAGCATTCCTGGCTTTTCAATATAAAGGACTAGTGTAAACTACAAGGAGGTTAGAAGCGCAAAAGATGGGGCACTACTTAATGTACTCTAATAAACGTTTGTGTTCCTACATGCTACCTAAGCCTGTGGCGCTAGAAGAAGAAGAAAGATACTTTGTTAAATATTTGGGAGTTACTTTCTCTTTTTCCTCGTGTTATAGAAAAATGGTAGACTCTTCTGTAATCCGAGCCCAGCAGTGCTGCTTTTAGCATATTCTATAAATTTAAACCCTTGGACAACATTACTACAAGTTCTTAATAGTACAAAAAAAATGCTTTCTGGGAAGAATTGTCGCTTGCAGAAAACTGCATAACATCTTTCATGGCTATGAGCAGAAGACTTGAAGCTGTGATAGATGCGAATGGAGATTGCACAAAATATTAATTGTTTTGTTTCCAAGTGTTTCTTCTTGTCCTGTTTATGTTTAAATGTTAGTCCCCTGCTGATTAGTATCCATATTCATCTAAATTTGTTACAATTCTTGAATTTACCTAAATCCAACTAACGAGAACAATCAACGACAAAAACAATAAAATTGAACAAAATACTGAATACACTAATTCCTATATAATACAGGCATAACATACATTTTTTGCAAGATATCTCCACAAATTTACCAAAGAGAATATCTCTTATTGCTTACAATAATTTTGTGTTCAAACAAACAGTAATGGCTGCCTAACGCAAGAGTTTTTAGTATTAAGAATAGATTGATACCCTTTTCTTGGAATTATGAGGTGGTTCACGCAATGACAGTGCAACAGAAATACGCACTCTTACGCCTTTGCCTAAAACAGTTCATGAAGCAGGTAGGTAAATCGAACCATTCGATATTCACAAGGAAAAAACACTCAACTCTTAAAAATATGCGTATTAATTTTTATTACTGCATAAGAATTTGCATCCCATATCGGACGTCAAAACAAACTTTGTTTTGTCAAAATGTGCTATGATAGCCTAATGATGTGTATAATGCTCAAAAGATAAAGTAAAATTTTCAAACCGTATCAGCAGTTTCGTGACCCCCTGGTTCGCCGGACCTCACTCCACTCGAGAGTCAACTACGACGACTGGTTCTCGTTAAACTGATATGCTAAGAAATGTTTTAAATTCGACGGTTACAAGGTGTTATGTGCGTTTGGAAAATAAAGGTCACTTCTTTAAACATTCTTTTTTTTTAATTGGCGTGATCTACCCATTTAGCTTGAAAATCGTTGAAAATGATAACACCAGAAAAAAATTAAATGTAGCTACTTTTTTCTAATTTAACCATCTTCGTATCTTATACAATATGATAGACCTCCTTCGCTTGGACACACTGTGTGTCTTAATAAATGATGGTATTTATTTGTAAGCGTGATTGTGGAAATCAGCAAACAGATATACATCTGAACTATTGTAATTTATTATTTGTCGAAATTATTATTTCAGTGTTCGATCCAGCTTCATCGTTCGGATATAAAGGCATCGATCCACATACAGTAAAACTTGGTTATAACGCACCAGCTGGGAACTTAATAATAAGTACGTTATATCAAAAGTTCGTTAGAAAATAAGAAAGAAAATACACGATTTTAAAATACATATAAATACAAGTGTGTATTTTGTGTCCTATGTACATTGTACAAAAATAAAATGAAAAACTATTTTGTAAAAATATCCGGTGTGTCTGACTTTGCTTTTGGCGATTTATAGGAATAATTTGCTGTAAATAGGTCTCCATTTCCAGAGATACGATATTTTGTAATACCGGCACTTCTATGTCTTCTTCATCTCCATCACTACTTTCCAGCTGTTCAGTTTGATTAATCTGTACAATGTGGCATATTGGTTGCCGCAATATCATTGTCTACTTGAACAAAAGCGTCTAACGGACTGATATTGAACTATTTTTGGTTACTCAAACGCCTAAGGGCAAGTTGCCTTCATCTAACTCAGATTATTTGATAAGCCACTGGTTGAGAGGTAAATCATCTTCCTCTGATATTAAAAGTACGTTATATAATGCTATTTTCGGAGGTTGACATTAGAGTACGTCATAATAATTGTCGGGACTTTTTACATGATACTTTATAACCGTCGGTTCGTAATAAGCGTGTACGTTACAAGTGAGTTTTACTGTACTTACAGCCGACCAGCATGACGCATATCGTGAAAATCTTCTCTGCGTCGGTGTTGGGCGCGACGTTGCCAAATCCCACACTCGTCAGCGACGTGAACGTAAAGTACAAGGCGGTGACGTAACGGGATTTGATGCTGGGCCCGCCTGTGCCGTTGACAGTGTAATGCTGATGGGTGTCGTTGGCCAGCACGTCGAGCCAGCCGATTTTCGCGTGAAGTACCGGCCGTTCGGCATTGCCGATGGCGTACCTGTGACAAACCGATGTTGCCGCGTCAATTGGCTTTGACGTACCACGGTAGGCGATTCAACCCAGCCAGCGAGAAAGTATTCTATATATCGTACAGCTAATTTTTTACAAAAAAAAGATACAATATAAATATAAACAAAAATAGCAATATGACAAAACACCAACTTAGGTAAAAAGCTTTTTTTAAATAACTATAAAAACATAAAAACAAAAAAAAACTATAAAACTAGTTACCTACAAGCATTAGCAAAAGGGATCAAGGCAGCAATTGTTAAATAATATCAAGGTTCCAGGCATAATAAATTATGTTTATTTGGTATCACTTTTCAAAAAAAACACTCATTTCATGTGCGAAAGATAACTTATATCCACATTAGCATGAAAATATTAAAGAAAAATGAAAATAACACTTACTTGAAATGTACTTCCATTTCATTTCATGACTTCTGTATCAAAATATTTAATTTTCTTTTTTGGTAGCGTTCTAAAACTTATATTAAAGGGTCAAATGATAACACACGTTTTTTAAAACGTCTTCCATTGTTTGCTCTCTAGAAAACTTTCATGAAAACCCTACAAGGTATTTTTTATGCCCTTTTTTTAATGCCTCTTGTGTTACTTGAAACATTTGAACAATAGGTGGCAGAAATGACTTCATTATTTCAGGCGAATGAAATAGAATTCTATGTACCGTAGTCGGCATGTTATACCAAGGATATTTCGCAAGAAGCAATTTGGCTGTCCATAGATAGTATTCGTTAAACAAATCTATTTTTATGTGGAATGTAATTGAAATAACCTCTTGACCTATGCCAGCTACTTTTGAAGACAATTCAGGGTTCTCAGAAAAGCGTTTCACTGTATTGCCGTCGTTTGTGCTATCGAATCTTAGGTTTATCTACTAACAGCCTTAATTTTTGGCTGGAAGTTCTTTGAATTTGCTGTTTTCTTTCGACTATTATTATCTTATTTTGCTCTCCTCTTGCTTGCCAGTCCTTTATTCGTAATGTATAAGACATAACCCGATTAAGCCTGTAATACAGGGATTCCAAAACTAAAAGTTGAAGTGTCCATTTGTCGATCTAACAATTCATCAAATTTACAGAACTGAACTGCTTTTTAGTAGAACTAGTCCAAGTAACTTTGTTAACTTGATGTGCAATGTGGTTTATCTCTGTGGTTGTTTCTTCCTCCGTTTCTTCAACAAAATGGATTCTGATGGGATGACAAAATCTGGGAGATCATGGTCCCGGATTCTGCCAAATATTTTTTTGATTTTGAGTGTATATCTCCAGAAATCAACTGAAGCGGTACTAAAGATTTTAAAAAGTTGCTTTTATCAGAACTGTCCTGATTTTGAAAACGTTGTTTGTAGAGTTTTCCTCCTCTGTCAACATCGCTAAGACTTCATTCTGTGAAACACGCTCTGCTGAGTGGCTAGATAGAGCTTGCAATTTCACTTTAGCTGATATTTCAGATCAGATTTCTTTATAGTTATGACCAAAAAAGTGTTGTTTCTTTATTATAGTAGTAGACATCAGATAATTCAATATAGTTTTGTTGCGGCCAATGGTTAAATATGAAATTAAGTGAATTAAAATTTGCAATATATCAAGTTTAACTAACAAAACACGAATGATTAAAAACTGAGCACGCTAAACTGTTAAAGATAACGATATATTTTTATGATGTGTTAGATGGATGCCTTACTCGCGGATACAGAGTAAAAATAGCGCATACATTGATAATTTTGTATACATAGTTTTGATCAGGTTTTTAAAATTCTGCTGTTCTGTTGTTGATGATACTCTACTCTCCATTATCCATTATCACCAATCCTCGCGAATATATTTATGGACGAATTTAGAGAACAGCAAAACTATCTCAAGTTTTCACTGAACCCTTACTGAATAAAACACCTTATATCTGGCTTTCTTTCTAATAATTTTTGGGTTCCATCACAAAATACACTTCGCCACAACCTTTCAACGACAATAAGTACCATAGTGACCCCACGCTTGTCACTGTTGTCCTTCCTTATATTCAAAATATACATATCAAAAGTTCTTAAGAAATATAACGTTAAAAGCAGATTTACGACGAAAAATATCATCTAGGTTCAATTAATATTAAAGAGCCTTAAGAATACCATAAATAAATTTATCAGCAATGACTGTACTACTTTATAAAATTGTTGGCATAACAAAATTACAGCTGTCAAAAATATAGGGCATCAAACACAGGGCATTTTTGACGAAAAAACGGCCATAAATCCGAAAACACTCAGTATAGACCATAACAACCCTATACTGGGTGATTGAGTTTAAGGGGTAGTATCTATTAATGCCATAATTTAATAAAATATACGTTTGAGTTCCCACATATTTATAAATATTTGAAAATAATTTTAAATAAATTAACATTTGTATTTAACATTTTTGTCTAAAACAAAAAAAAACGGCGGTGTTTTTCGTTCAGAATTAGTGTTTTTCTCTAGCGAAATCTCGCGCACTTTCGTCAAGTAAAAATTGAACCGCTGCAAGGCATTCTCAATTAAAAAAAGCCTTTCATTTTTACTTTAAAAAAATTTTAAACCGCAGAATTTTGGTTAGTTTGTAAAAGTTTGTAATGTAAAACCAATAGGGAACTTAAACAAAATTTTAATTTGGAAAATATTGCTTATAAAAATAAGTTTATGTATAAATATTGAAAGCCAGACAGTAGCATAGAAAAGCTATTAACACGTGTTCGTCTTGGTGCTTGGTGCTTTTAATTTTAATTTGCTTAATTGCTTTTGTTATCTTGCGTTTACTATCAAAAAGAGAGTTTTGAAAATTACCGACGCCAAGTTATTAAAAGGTCAATCTGATAATTTACCTTTAGTGGATATGTTTGTGGTGACATCCTACATACAGAACACCGAAAGTTTTCCTTTTGTTGAGGTGTGCGGTGTTAAAGCCAAAAGGTATGTTCACTTGCCCACTGGTTTTGAACCATTATAATATTGTTGTAATCAGCATAAAGTTTTCTAGTTTTTAAAATTCAATTAAAAAACAATAATACATTATGTAACAAGTGTTGTAAACTGCATTGAGTCACAAGGTTATTTGGCAAGCGCGGAGCGAGTGTTTAATAAAAGAGTGATTTAAACAGTTTACGAAAAGTGTTGCATACTTTACTTTTTCCACGACCGTTAGTTTTGAGTACATTTTTGCAAAATAACAGGAATACATTCACTGATATGATATGTTAACAAAAAATGACAGCTTTTATTTTCTGGTGGAAGAAAAAAAGGTTTATCTGGCGTTTTAGGGGTTATACTCAAACACGTAATCTTGTTGTTTGTGTATTCCTTCCGTTATTATCATGCAAAGCACACTAAGCACAAACACAAACTGGCGCAGATTAAATACAAACACACCTTTACACGAGCCAAAAATAAACGTAAATAATATAATTCTATAACCTGAGAATAACACTATAACATGTTGCCGTTTCGTTCGAAAAGCAGCGGTATGACGTCACGATGATTTCCGCGCGTTTAGCATCGTTTAAAAGGGATAACCGGGTGGTATGTGTTATTTCTATACACAAAAAAATGTATTAAAGAAATAAAAAAATGTTCTAGTTCCTTATTGTAAATCTGAAAATCTATATAAAAAAAGTTACCAACAGATGTAGAATTTTACTGTCTAGGAGCCTTTTTCTGTAGCCTTTAATTAATACAATGTAGCTAATTAATACTTTGTGCCTTACATGTTATTGTTATTTAATGTGTAAATGTGAAATAAAGTTGATTATTATGATGAGTTACTGCAGGCGTCGGATGAAGGCAGAATTGGCGCCTTAATTTTGTTAGACTTTAGCAAGGCTTTTGCTTATTCAATGATTCACTACATTGGGTTTGGTGAAGGTGCACGAGTGTTTTTAAATTCGTTTTTATCAGATAGAGTTCAACAGGTGTTCTGCGATGTGTATTCCGAACCACTTTCCGTTGAGTAAGGTGTACCATAAGATAGTATATTGGGTCCTTGTTGTATACAATTTATACATTTAACTTTGTAAAGGATTTAAATAATTGAAATTATCAACTATATGCTGAGGACAATCAAATTCTTCTGAAGATCATGAAATTACGCAGTCTGAGCTAAAATTAACACTGATTTAAAGAAGTTTTATAGAATTGCATCCGATCATCTACTACAGTTAAATCCAACTAAGTCATCGGTGTTGGTTTTTGGAAAATTCCTATACTATACGCCGATATATCGAAAACTTTAGGAATGGTCTTGGACTCTAGGCTGCAGTTCAAGGATCACATTACAAACAAATTGAGAATAGCATATGTGAATTTATAGTTAATATACAGTCATGAATATTTTCCAATTGTCACAGAGAAACTGCTTTGTGAATCCATGGTTTTTTCACAGTTCATTCGTTGCTGTGGTCTGTACGCCATTTGCCTGGACGCTGCTGACCAATATCGTATCCAGAAAATGCAAAATTTATGTTTGCGCCTTGTGTATGGAGTTGGCTGACATTATCATATTTCTCAATACTTGGCTGTTTCGGGTTAGCTTAACAGGTTTAGGTTACACCGTGCTACATTATATTTTAAATTTTAAATTAAACAAAATCACTTTTCGTACAGATGTTCATGACTTGAATCTAGGAAAAAATTTTATATTGAGAATACCACCACATCGAAAAGAAATATTTAAAAGATCATTTTCTTATAGCATTGCACGCACAATAAATAATTTAAGTCTTTTCGATTTAACGATATCAACCAAAACTTTTAAAAAACCGGTATAAAATATATCTTCTTGGAACTCAATAATTTCTGTATCGGAAAACCACGCTGTTGTTTACCCTTACCTCCTCCTTTCTCCTTTGTCCTGCGACTTCTCTCTCTATTGAAAACATATTTAATTTTGTTTTTCTACTCCCGTCTGTAAAATACCTAATTACCCACCGACCTAGCGTGCAGGAAGCGTCACTTTACCACGTCAGTTTCGTTTCCCACGAATCCGAGCCACTTCGGACATTTCCGGGATTTTACCGCACGGATTTGGGAGCAATCGGATGTTTTCGGAGATATCTCCCACGCTTTGAATTTTGACGTTTGTCAATTCTGACGGTCATGTCAGTGAATGTATTCGTGTTGTTTTGTGAAAATGTACACAAAAACTAACGGTCGTTGAAAAAGTATAGTATGCAACACGTTCGGTAAACTTTTTAATTCACTCGTTTATTAAAAACTCGCTCCGCTCGTGTCAAATAAACTCGTGAGCCAAATACCGTTTACCGCACTTGTTGCATAATATACTATTATTTGATTGTTTTTTCCTTATTTTTTGGGTAATTTGGTTTACATCAAATTGAGACTTGAAAAGTGTCTGGCTTTGCTGGATGTCTGAGTCTTATTAGGCGTTGTGTTGCCTTAAAAGTGGTAACATCTAATATTTTGTAGTGTAATAATATATATATTTTGCAAAACAATAAATGTATTTATTATTATTAACCTCAAAATAATAACTTCTCGTTAATTTGGTCGAATCGCCCGGGGTAATTTTTACCATATGCACGCGAGCCAATGGGCGATCAGCGCGAACGTGGCCATCAGTAGTAGCAGTACGGCGGCTCCGTACTCGGAATACCTGTCGATTTTACGCGCCACGCGTACCAATCGCAGTAGGCGGGCGGTTTTTAATAGGCCGATCAGCGTCGTCGTCTGTAAAAGAAGAAACGGCCCACTTGATTCGGCGAGTGGACGATTAGGCGAACGGAAAACGAAAAACAAAACAAAAAAATGCGGAGTGAGCCGGGCAGGTCGTGATCGCTCGTGATGTATACAACGAAGGCGCGTCGGCCTACCCGGCGGTATATGTTAGTAACCGACGACGTCGTAAGTAATTCGGGTGTTATTTACTTAATTTGTTACCATTACCTGTTTGTTTTTTTCGTTATTATAATAGGGCACCTGCAGATATACAAAACAAAATTAACGAATGTACAAACGCAAACAAAAATAACGTAAAAGTAAACAATTAAACGAGGTTAAACCAAAGGAGAGACCCGGCATCTGGCGTAGTCGGTAATAAGTGACGTCGCGGATCGAAACGTTACGAAAAAACACAAAATGAAAATTTAACAGTCTTGAAACACTGATATTTAGTTTTAGTTAGTTGTGTTGGCACTCTTTTGAGGGATTCTTATTTGAGCCACACAGTGGAGTATTTTATATTAATTTCTGATCGCAATTGCTCTAAAAAACGGTTTAAGAAAACTTATCTGCAACTCTCTGGGAACCAATTATGACAGAAGTAGTAGAAATATGAGGTATAAAGTAGCTGAGAGCCTATACTTATACATACATTACAACTTACACAGTTTTTAAGTTATAGAGCTATGAAAATAAATGTTCATTATAACTGATATCAAATAATTTCTAAATTAGGATTTTTTCCTAAAAAAATTTTTTTCACGTCAAAAAATCAAGTAAAAACGGAAAAATAATTTTTTTTGTGTTATTTAAATAGGAAAATGAATTTTGTTGATTTTCGTTGAGCTTTTGAGTCCATCTGTCATAACTTATTGTTGCATAAGCTACATAGTTATGACGTCAGCCTCAACTACAGGGTGTTTTCTAATTGAATGTATTTCATTTGAAAAAAAACTTCTTAACTTTTGAGATTCAGGGTGGTAAAGTTTTCAAAAACAAAATATATTTTTTTAATATCTGTAATACCAGAGGAATTAATCAGTGTACCATAGTTTTTTCTTAAAATACACCAGTGGCGGGCGTACGGAAATTGACTTGTCTATCTTGGTAGACACTGATGGTACGTCACTGATTTCTCTTCAACTAAAAATTATTCTTACAATCTCTAATCATTTCTAAAGAAATTCAAATTCTGTACGGTTTTCGCTTAAAAAAAAAATAGTTTTTATTTTTAGGATATTAAATCAGCTCATAAATGAATGCAAATGTCAATCAGTGGCGTGCCACTGCACTGGTTAAATCGAGAACATTATTTTGTGAAAAATAAAATATCCATCTAAAACAATTATTAATTACTATTATTAAAAATATATATCTTATTTTTGAAAGGAGATGGTGGGGCAAGGCGGTTCCCTGGGACAACGAGGCCCACCGCAAAAACTAACCCATTTTTTTTTCGTTATTATAATTATAAATTCTGGTTATATATACATTTTTAGCGCTTTGCGTAATACAATACATAATTAATTTATTGAAAGTTTTATTTTTTGGACAATTCTGTAGATTTGGCCTAAAGCCAGAGCTTTAGGAAATCTTATAAATACCAATAACAAATTTTTTAATAGATAGAAAAATGGTAATCAGTAATGTTTATTCAAGAAATACTTTTTAATAAATTATTGTAATTATTATATATAACATTATAAATAAATGAGAGTGGGGCACGACGGCCAGATGCTTCGCCGAAATTTGGGTAAATTTATTTAAAGTTAGTCACAAATAAATCGACTTGATGGTTAAAAGCCACAAAAAATAATAAAAAGCTTAAATGGGCTGCCTTGCTCTACCCTCCCCTATTTCAAGAGTTAAGACGTTTGGGACATATGTTCGTAGGAAGCTTGCTTTTTAAAATGGGCCCAAAAATCGCCCCTTTAATTATTGACATTCAATTATAAAACACCCTGTATATGAGTGTAATAAAGAACTTAAACGAGAATGCTCCAGCAACTGTCAGGGCTTGTGATTGACCTTCAGAGAAGATTGGTATTACATTCGAAGGGAGTCTTTGAGACCATATCTTTTTTTAATATGATAAAAATACATATATTGAATATAAACGACGCATTTACACATAACAATTTAAAACTGATTTCAGATTTGCATCAAGTCTTACCTCGAACCACCAAACAAACAAATGCTTATAATAACGCAGAGTAAACAAATATTGTTTCCATTTTCGATCACCTTTATATCGTTAATACCCCAGTGTGCGGCGTTGCCAAGTCGCGACTATTCATAACGGATCTCTTCTGTAGTTTAACACTTTACAATATAACGTGTAGTATGTCCTTGTTGTTTCGTAGTGATAATGGTACGGAAGCGATTCGAAAAAATAATTAAAACGTTCGATCAAAAAGTACCTCTAAACACTACTGGCATTCGTTCAAAGCGTATTGTCTGAAAAGCTCGCGCTTACGGCGCGTCGAAGCGTGCTAGATTGATAAATAAATGTATAAAAGAGATTTAAAAAAATGCAACGACCAGGAGGAAAGTCTTCTAACCCCAGAGATTCATTTTTATCAATATGCAGGGCGTTCCAAAACAAAAGGGCTATAGAATACCGGTATATTCATGTATCAAAATATTTCAATTTTCAAAATAATATTCTAAAGTTTCGTTAATATAGGGTGATAAAAGTCATTTTACTTTTTCGTTTTTTATTAGCATCATATTTTTCTTGTGTATTGTCAAATTTATTTTCTGATAGGTCAGGGTCATTTTCTGGTATTTTTTAAGTAGGCTAGCGGTATACTAAACATGCTATATAGTGAACTACTCTAAATAGTGAACAATATTTTGTTAATATATTCCACAGAGTGAACAAAGTGGCTCTCGAAATAACGATCCCAAAACAATTTCTTAGTCAACAAACACATCAATACTAAACGTTTTGTTTTCTCTTGTGTAATTGGATCACAGCAGTTTCTTGTGGATTGTGATTGCATCAGGTCGTTTCGAGAGTGAAGTCTGGCAAAAAATAGAAAACATTTAAACCTAAGTGATAAAGCCAAGATATTAGTAGATTGTGTGACTATTTTTTCCAATGAATATTGTGTTAATTTTCAAAGAAGCTACTATAATACAATTCACAAATTTTCTGGATTCCTGCTGCATCGATTGTTGATAAACCGAACTGAACATTGACGAAAAACTGCCTCATTTTGCGCAAATTGTAGAAAATTAAGTTAATTCAGATTTTCCTCATAAATAAATTGGCAGAAGTACGCTTCTTGGATGACCGGCATGTAGTCCGGACTTCCATCCAATGGATTTTTGTTTATTTTTTTAAATAATCCTTCGCAAACAAATTACAAAATGTATTTAAGAGCATGGTGGTAACGTAGTATCTTTATTGCAAGTGTTTGTATTTTGTAATAATTATTAAGTCGGTTAATTAAATAAAATTGTTGTTAATTAAATTATGTATAAATCTTCTGGATGAGAATATTTCATGTTTCATTCCAGAGTCCAGTTTCATTTCAGCTCTGAAGCAGCCAACAGGATGATTTCCGAAACGTCAGCAAGTTCGATTCAATTCGATTACAATATTCTGTGGAATTTCCTTTGAGAAATATGAAGGTATTTTTGAAAAAAAAGTGTGTGCAGGTGACGTCACCTACAAGTTATTGCAAAACCGAAATGCAAATTTTTGTGTCTACATTAATAAAATTGTGAAAAAAAAAAACGAAAAATTAAAATTACTTTTATCATCTTGTATCTCCTTTTTGACTTTAGGACATGGGTTTATTTGACAAGTCGAAACATTTTGATACAAAGAATATATTCTGTGACCCATTCGTTTTGAAACACGCTTTTTATGGCCGGCTGCGGGATATATACGAGGTCTGTAAATGAAATAATGAGACAAAAAAGCTAGCGTTCTATCTGGCAAAACTGTTTTTTTTTTTAATAATGTTCTGATAACGAGTGACATCAATTGGGAGTTGCGGTGTGCTACCAAATTGTATTTGAGAATTGAGAACTTCAGCAGGCTTATTGTGTTGTTAAGAATCGAGGGTCGACAGAAAATGAAACGCGAACCGCGCAGCAGATTTTGGAAAATCAAAATGACCTCCATGTTCTGGTGTTTGAGCACGACCCAGAAACCAAGCCCTTGTGGGCGTGAATGTCAAGAACAACTACGTGTTGCATCACGATAATACTCCTTGTACCACGGCAATTTCAACAAATGAATTTTTGGCCTGAAAGGCAATCCTGTGGCCCGCGACCTCCTTATTCGCCAGACTTGTGTCCTTCTGATTTTTTTCTCTTCATTTTGTGGAAGAACCGCCTCCAGAGCTTCACAAGAAAGTTATTCTGAGGCTGTCAATACACAACTTTATTGAAATAAAAAAAAACAGTGTCATTAGTCAATTTACAGACCTCGTATACCCTCATGTTGTTGGCCACATTATTTAGGCCACCCTGTATCATCAATGGAAAACTTAATAACTTCTCTAAATCAATGTTTCAATAATTAGTATGGCCTCCAACTGGGAAGCTAGACTACCGTGCAGACAAATTTTTTGCAATTTGCAATACTATTGACAAAACTTTCAGTATTTAATCTTCCGCACAGAACCTGCAAGAATAAACATCCAGAGCGTTGCATTTTTTTTTAAATCTCCGGCCTATTATACGGAAGCCTTGATACGTTCGATAATATCGTGAAAAAATCGAAAAAAAAAAAAGAACGGAAACCGGCGAAAAATCGAAATTCGGATGTACGATTTTTGACCGTTGTCCGTGAACAAGATAAAGCACCAAACTATCTCATAGACTACCTCGTCTTTATCCAAGCCCAACTATAGAAAAGAATTAAAAAGACTGGTTTAAAAAATCATTCGTCTAACTCTCACAAAAAGTCCTTACGCCAAAAACTAAATATCCCAACGAGATTTACGGCTAGGGGTGGGGGGTGGAGGGGATCGAGAGAAAAGGGAAATCTTTACCTATAAAATCGACTCCTTGTTGCTTTTCCTTTCTTTTCCTTTCGCAAAAGGCGACGTTATTATTATAATTATGGAAGACCCAACCAAAAGATAACGTCTAAAAACGTTCCCTAAAATATTTTTTGATTTTTTTAATGCAACCAAATTCATTTTGAGGAACTGTGGAAAATCAACATTGTTGACGTTTACGGCGAACGGTACATTGGATTGTACTGAAAATTTGGTTAGTTTCATAGATCTAAAATATTTTTAGCGCTGCGATGTTGCCGCTTCTTCGAAAAAGTAGCATCAACATTAAAATTTTAAAAGGGATACCATGCATATTATTGCTTTTTCCGATCCGCGAAAATATTGTGATTGCTTTTGAATAATACGTTCCTATATCTATCTTCAGCGGTTTTCGAGAAAACAATTATTTTCTTCATTTTTCTCACCAAAACATAGCTTCAATTAAATTTTTATTACTACGACACTGGAACCAGTAGAAAGTTAAAAATTCGGACACAGGGAGGTAGGTAGATAGGGAGATATCGAACAGACCTTGTTAATATCGAAATTAGTTGTAGAGTATACAGGGTTGGTCAGAATTGATGATTTTTTTTAATAGAACACCCTGTAAATAAAAGCTGATTACGTTGGCATAATTATTTTTTTCAGGTGGCCGATGAAGCAAAATTTTCTGAAGAGGCAACTTTCAATCGAAGGAATAAATCCTTTTGGTCTGTAAACAGTTCTCATGCCACAAAGAAAATGGGATTTCAAATGAAATTTAATTTAAATCTGTTTTGTTTGTTAAATGATAATAAAGTAAGTTTTGTAATTTACGATGAATCACTGAATGCTGCAAAGTACCTCGAAATATTAAGAACAGTGGTAATTGATTTTTTTCGAGAATCTTGGCCTTCAGAAACTTCGGACCTTTCGGTAGATGGGGCACCGGCTCATTGTACTGAAGAGGTGTCGCAAAAATTATACGTGTTGTGGTTTGATTGGGTTTCGACGTTTGAGGCCGCGGAATTGGCCATCAAGATCGCCCGATCTCACGTAATTAGATTTTTACCTATGAAGTGCATTAAAGTCACGCGGCTGCTATAAGTTCATTTCAAGGGATTTTAAAGTATTCAGAATGCGAACACCTGTTGTAAAAATTGGATTCATTTTTCTGTGTGCGAATTTTTATTTTAAGCACCTGATATTATATTAGTGTAAATAATGTTAAAAATTTATTTATAAAATGGTTTGAAAAGGCTTTCTCTTTTTTATGTGTGCATTGTCCTTGAATAATTTATTAAAACAGCATTTGCATCAAAATCAATTATGAATAAATCTTTATTGAACTGTCAAACGGAAAATGAATTATTTAACTTAAGACTTATATTTTATGGCCACTTAAAAGATGAACTATACCATAGTAATCCATTTTTCATTTACCTTTATTTCACAAACCAAACGATTTAGGTTCGAAAAGGAATTTAATTTCCCAATATGTGATAATATATAAATTTAATTGAAGCTGTTTAGATCGAAAAATAAAAAAAATAATTAATTTCTCGAAAGTCGCTTATGAAATATATAGGGACGTATTATTTAAACACAATCGTCAAGTATTAACGAATCGGAAAATGCAATAATATACATGGAATATTATTTAAAATCTCAATATTAATGTAACTTTTTCGAAGAAGCGGCAACGTCGTAGCGTTAAAAATATTTTAAATCGATAGAGTATCACCGCTTATAGAACTAACCAAATTTTCAGATCATTCCAATGTACATTTCGGCGTGAAACACCCTATATAATGTGCCAAGGTTATGGTTTTATAAGTGGTACAGCCTGTATATAATGAGTAGTCATTTTAGTGTGCAAAATATTGCCAAAATTTACATACATACATAACGTTACATATTTGGTGCACTTAAAATATTTGTGAGTCAAACAGCATACAGGGTAGGAAAAAAAACAAAAATTGCCCAAGGGCAAAATATCCTGGCTTCAAAAAATTAAGCAACATGTCATTAAAAAAAATTGTTTAGAATTAAAAGTTATGCCTTAATATTAAAACAGGTAAAGTTTTTTGTTCAAAAACGATTAATAATTTTCATATTATTTTTTTTCAATAATTTTAAATACTATAGCAAATTATTCAAAATCAAAACTATTTAACAAATTTTTCTTAAAATTTCGTATACTTTTATGTTTGTTGCAATGATATTTAATATCACTTTAATAATAATAATACTTTTTAAGTAGCAAAGGCATCGCTAATTATGATAGGCCTATTAAGAATTCGTCATATAAATATAGCATCAGATCTCTTCCCAAAATTGTATATGTGTGGAGCGGCATTATCAACGACCAATTAATAGGGCCGTTTTTCATTCGCCAAAATTTAACTGGACAATTTGTGTTTGGAAGAATATTATAAACAATGGTTTGTACATGATGGATGTCCTGCGCAATCTTTTAGAATTGTTACCGAAAGGTTAAATAGAGAATTCTGTAACAAATGATTATAACGCAATGCCGATCCACGGTGGCCTTCGTGTTCGCCAGATTTCACTCCATTAGGTTTTTTTTTATGGGGATATTTGAAATGAAAAAAGGTTTATAGGGATCGACCATTTCATAATCTTAAAGAATAGGGAAATTCAATAAGACTTCATTGCAGAAATATTACACCGAATGTACTGAGATCAAGCATTAGCTAATTTTATGATCGTACATACATCGAATTATTTATTAATATTAAAAATTTCTTATTTTTCCTAATTTGTTAAATGGCGCCCAAGATTTGTCTTGAGCACCAATATTTATTTTAAATTAAGCGTGGTACTGTGTAATTTTACGTCTTAATTTTTTCACCAGAAAGGAATCACGGACATGGCAAAATGTAACCAAAATATTTTTACAAAGTTTTGGTATTTAAAAAAGAAATTTAACTACACGATGTTCACTACGCGGCAATGTTTTTTTTGACTTCATATTTGGCCATATTATTTTTTTAATTTATGCAAAATGTAAGCCAGTGGCGTAGCGATTTCAATTTTTAGAATGTTACGTAATATTGCTATTTTTAAAACAATAAATATGACATCTCAAAAATTAACTAAAAAATGTTGCGCTATCGAAACAGAAAAATATTATTTTTTCATTAGTTTAGTCCCTGTAACTCAAAAAATATGAAAAATATCAATCTTTGCTGGTTTGTGATATCGTTAGAACAAAACATAAAATTTGTGTTTAGCTAAAAAATTAAAAACCTTAGTTAATTTTACAGATAAGATGGAATTGGAACAAAAATTTTCTAAATCGATTTGAGTTTCAATAATTTGGGATAGTATTTAAAATTATTATTAATATTTATCTTGCTAGCTTCTGCTTTGTTAATAAGGCATAACATTTAATTCTAAAAAACTTTTCTTAATGCCATTTTCCTCAATTTTTTTTGAAGGAATTGTACTAAAATTAATGGCATAATAGAAGTTTTCCCCTTAACTGTCAAAAGTCAATCACTTAAAACAATTTGACGTGTCCAATTGGAGAACAGCACACTACGTCCCCTTACGTACGGTGTACAAACTCAAAAAGTGATATCCAGGTTAATTTAATTTGTTATTGCGACTTTTGCGCGGGACGTCGATTTTTCGAACAAACGGTGGGATCGGTGGGCGGTGGGAGCGTGGAGAAAGGTCGTATTTCGTACTTAACTAAACATCGAACACTTAATATCGATCGCAAGTCATCAAAATGCAACATGTATAAAACACTCAAAGTCGACAACGGGAAATAAACGAAATTACGTCTACTGATCGGGGCGGTATACGTATAAAAGTCCGCCTCCTGGTCGAAGTTGACGTATGGGGCGACCCCCCGTGGCACAAAAGCACATTATTCGACGATCTCGGAATTGAAACTGGAGGCGGATTTTTACCGCTCGGGATTCAATCGAATTTATATCTCGCGCCACCTCAATCAGTTGTTATTTGCGCCGTACGGCATGGAATATTTCGGACCGAAATACAAGGTTTTCAAAAATTTTTACTTCCGGGATATGCGAAGTGTTACCATGGTTACTTTTTAAAATTGCTTTCATGCTATTCGGGTTATCACAAACGCGTCAAAGGTATCAAAATCGTATTTATGTTTTAACGGATCAACTGTATAATATTTTTGAAACTTAAATTTTAAGCTTCTAAAAAATAATTTAATTTTTGTTCTCTAATTTTAATATTTTACATACCTTCATATCTCTGAGTATACTTAGTGTGCCCTAGATGAGGGAAATTCTGATATTAAACGAGGTCTGATTTGATTAGTTCAGTGGTTCTCAACCGCCGTTCCGCGGAACACTGGTGTTCCGCGAAGCTGTCCCAGGTGTTCCGCGAAAATTTTGAATATAATATAATAAGAAACAGTAAATTTTTTTATTACTATAAAATAAATACTACACAGTTTTGTTAATTATTTGAAATTTAGCAAAAATATTCAATATTATTCTAAATTTTCGCGGAACAGTCAATAATATTAACAGTGTAATTATCGAACGACGCAGTTACGTCGTTTGGAGTTACTCCGGGGAATACCACTAAATTTCTAGTGTACTCGATAACGCAGGGAGCGCTACGTAGTGTTGATTTCGTGCTGTTTCTCTTTCTTCGTACGTAAATAACAAAAGCGCAATTTCGATCTGCGGTTCAGCCATAATTTAATATAAATATCGAGTTTTCGTGAGTGTGTTTTTTATTGTATATATATATATATATATATATATATATATATATATATATATATATATATATATATATATATATATATATATATTATATTGCTGGAAATTGGTAGGATGAAATGC